ACAGTAACACAGAGCAGTATTTCACTTGTTTCAATATTTTATGGTACTATCTTGCTTTTACTTTTTATTTTAAACTCAGAAACTGTCCCCTCAGATGCACAAGTATTGGTGGCAAATCCAAGTGACAGAAGCCAAGTTGAAATCTAAATTCTTAACCTTTTCACTACCCAATTCTAAGTCTTTGTGAAGGGATACACCTGAATGCCTCAATTCTCTTCTTTATAGAATGAGTATGTTCCCACTTCCTTGGCTGTTGGTACAAATATGTTCCTGATGGTCTTTTCTACCAATTCATCTAAAATTTCCAGATGTTTCTGAATCCCAATAGGGAACATGGTTTATGCTTTGGTGAAAACCACCAGGCCACATAAATGCCAAAACTGTGCATAGTGTGTGATGGATGTATCTGTCCTCCTATCTTCCACCATGAGTTTTCCAGAGCTAATTTCGTCTAAGTACAAATATGAAGGCTTAGACCTACCCTCAAAATTCTTCTTGCTGCCAGTGTCCCTATGTTGGGCTCTCAGTACAGCTGTACTGACCAAGTCTTAGAGTTCTGCTCATCTCCACCATAGCTGTCCAATCATTGCTTTGGACTTGGTTTGGTGATGGCCATTCCAGTGTTTTCCTTGAACTATCCTGAACTACTTCTATTCACTTGGGTGAAGACGGTTATCCATGGCTCCCTCTCTGAAAGGCTTCTTCAGATTCTCTAGGATACTGCCTGCTTCACTGTGTGCTTGATGCTTACTTGGAATTGCACAAGATTAGAACCTTCAAATGATGATTTTAGCCTGGGTTAAACCATTTATTTTATTCCTTAGGGTATTATAATTTGGCTTTCTAATCTCCACTCCACAGTCATCCATCTCCAGTCCATGCTCTGCCTTTTCCTTGCCCCACCCCTCAGGAGGTAATACAGAGGGAGCTAATAGGTCTTACTTCTAAGTCTAGAGAAGATGTAGCATTATATGTATATTCAAAGTGCTATAGCAGTTTTAAAAAGTTTAAAGTTTTCAATTATATTTAAAGTAAATGTGCTATGAAAATTCACATACAATTTAAATAAATGCTTTAGAGAAAATTCAAACCTGTTATTTTTCAGGAAGACCCAGTGAAAGCTACCTCCATTCCTCTACCTCCCTCTGGAACAGCAAAGGTACATCAGAGTAGAATCTGCAATGCAAATCTGACTCTCTTAAATTCAAGGGAGGAACAAGTCTCTCCAGGCTTCCTAGGTTTGATTATGTGCTCCAGCACAGATTTTGTTTATAAAATGCTATTTTGCTTTCCATTTCATAACTGTCCCTTGTGTGTGTGGCTCTTTGGGTTAGAACTTCAAGAAGAGATATGGTCAGTGGCAGGATTTGGGTGCCAAAGCCCCCCTCTGAACTCTATGATTGTGTATGTGAATATAATTTGTGAACTACAGATCATTCTTCAAACTGTATGTCACCAAACATTGTAAACGCTATATAAACAAATCAAGAATGGGCAATCTGTTTCTGAAATGGTCACTGGCCTCTTGGGTTTATTTGATTGCCTCTGACCAAATCAAAAGAGGCCTTACATTTTGGTAGAAAGGAAAAAAGTATTTACTCAAAGTTATCTCCAAGGAGATGGAGAGGACCATTTGCCTCAAAACATCATCTCACCTTGTACAGGTGGGTACGGGTTCTTAAGAGTAAGAAACAGAGAGGAGAGGGTGCACAGAAAGACAATGTGCACCCTTATACTTGTTTTATCACTTCCAGTCGTCTTAGATTTATTTTACTTTCTTGTGGAAAGTAACCTAAACTCTGGCCTCCTGGGGCCTGTATCTGCATATTCTTTCACTTCTTTGGGGCTAAGGACAGGAGGTGGTATTGGTTATGTCCTCAGCAGGAGGAAGTTTGGAGAAATCGCTTATCTAAAAGAAAAAATCTAATTTAAAGTTCCATTTTGCTGTGCTCTTATGAAAATAGAGCCTATTCATTGTCATTCTGTAAGGTTTTGAAGTGCCCCTCAACTCAGTCTTGGAAGAAAGAAGATTGTTACTTTCTTTGGAGTCTTTACTTTATAGTGAAAGTATAGAGAAAAGGTACAGAGCAAAGGAACATTGTTAAAAATGCTATGAACTCTTCAGCAGGAAGCTGCCGAATGAACACCAAGTTTTATTATTGCTTTACAATGTGCACAAAGGGAACAAATTTGCACTGTCACCTTTGGGGCAGGAAATAACCCATTTCATCTGCCACCTGTGATGCTCTGCCACACACTCTTTCTCCAGAAAAGCTGTTGCATTTTGATAGACCATCAATCTCCACTCTTGCACAATTGGCTTCCACCTATATGGAAAATCAATCTTGATTCGGAAGGTAGAGCGACTGTTTCCAAAGGTCATGCACAACAATTGCAGTTGCCTTTTTTCTAAGAGTGCAAAATGATTCCTACCAGTCTTGCATAAATTTCTGTCTGCTCTGCCTTCATCTCTTCTGGCCAATTTTAAAAAAAGGAATAATGGAATCCTGATCACTGATGGTGGGAAACAAAAGGGCTACTATTTTTAAAAATTTATAACAGAAGTTAAACTGGACATAGAAATATGGAAAATGATGCTATTTCAAGTTTCTTACATATCTGCCATGGATTCAGCCTAAAAGCAAATTCAACACATTTCAGCTCTCTTGCATGCACTGATTTCTCAAATAGATCATAGCATTCCAGCACAGCTCTTATAATCAACTGAGCTTCATCTTTATACTCTCTCATGTGATCCAATAGCCTGGCAATTGCTGTCATTTTCCCCTTCAGAACATCTCTCCCATCTGTCTCTATTTTTTTTCTCCCTAGTAAAATAATACAGAATTACACATAGATTATTGAAATAACTTATGTGAAAAATCTGTAACTCAAGACTCTCCCATTCCAGTCAATAGCTCAACTCACCCTTGCAGGCCTTTGTGCCAGGTAGTTCTTCCCACACCACAGGGGATACATACTACATGCCCCTTAACTGAGAAAATTATCAAGGCACTGAAAGTTCAATTGTGCAGAACACTCAGAGTTATACATCTAATACTTGTCAGGTTATAATTTGAACCACAGTCTGCAGATGCCAGGTTTCACTGTTTTCCATTTTACCACAGTCATGCCCCTTCTAACTGACTTTCCAATTGATCTTTTCCAACAAAGCATTCATTATCTCACACCCTTCTCAAAAATCTCCAGTGGCTCACCCATTGCTAAATTCCTGTTAATCATTAATATAATCTGTTGCTAAAGCCCATCTTATAGTTTGAATGGGTTGTTAAAACAAAATATTACAGATTAGGTAGTTTAAGCAATGGAAATTTATTTTTGAACAAGAGTGAAGGCTGAGAAATCCCAAATCAAGGAAGCATCAGGGTTTGTGTTGGACAGAGCCCTAGCATTTCAGACAGCTGTTTTTTTACCTTGTACTCACAGGTTCTTTCCTAATGATGTGGGTGGGATGGGGTAGTGGGCTCCGTGGTTGTCTGCTTTTGTAAGGTTACTAATATTATCATATCAAAGATTCATCCTTATAACCTCATTTAACCTTAATTACTTCATTAGAAGCCCCGTCTCCAAATACAGCCACACAGGAGATTAGAGCTTCAATATATGAATTCTGGGGAAAGAAAATATTCAATCCAAAATGCAAAGTACCCAGTAACTTGTATACCTCTTCTTCTGAGATGCTTTTTAACCTGAAAATCTGGTCTACAGGTTTGCCAGAAACCTACACAGTTCATGTATTTTGCCACTTCTGAACCATTGTTCATAGAATTCCTCATGTAACTTGGAAATGTTTCCTCAACTCCTCTTTATTCAAACCATACTCATCCTTGAAGCCAAGCTTAATCCCATGTCTTTCTAGAAGGTGTATATGATTTTCATGATCCCTAATGACTTTTCTTAACTCTGAATTCTGAAAGTACTTACTCTCTGAACAGATGGCTGATACAGATTAAACAGGCTTTGTCCCACTGTAGGTCCCTCCTGGGGTGCCTCTTGTCAACAAACCCTCAATGTCCATAGATCATCTGTCTGGACAGCTTCGTGTTTCTTGAGATGATATAAACTAGTGAATACCTCAACCCTACTTTTTGTATTTCTAGGACTTGCTCCTTTTCTCATGCTATATACTTCACTCATTTTCATGAGGCTCACTTTCATCAAGTCTCTTGTTATCCTCTTTCTCCCTGTCCAATTCACTTTTAAATTATGACTTTTCTCCTTATGTTTTGATCTACTTGCTCCTTTTCTCCTTTTCCAAAACTACCATCTTAATTTATGCCCTTTTTACTTCACCTAGATACAGCATCCAGCATTCAATCTCTATTTTAACTTATTTCCCATATACCACCCAGATAAATTTCCCTCCAGGATACCTTATTCTAGTATAGTCCTTAATGCATAGTTTAATTTTTTCAGATCATCTGGTTCAAAAGCTGAGATGTTTATGGAAGCCTCACTTGCTGTCATTGGATTATAAATTCTACATGACCTTCTGTACTTTTATTATCTATCACATGGTTCATGCTCCATAGAAACTTGTTGCTTGGTTGAACATCATTCTCATCATTTCACTCCTCATCTCAAAGTCCTATAACGCACACATTGCCCATTTTAGTTTCACACTTCTGCTTGCTCAGGCTCATTGCTAAAATCTGAAGTCAATTCTGTTTTTATGTCTCAGCTGTGCTTTGCCAAACTCTTTCAACGCTTTTTCTATCATAGCCTTGGTGCTCAAAATAATTGGATCTGTTTTCTTACTTACTACCCTTACTTGCTATTTCTTACCATTGCTTTGAACCTGGATGTTTAAATCTCTGATGTTTCAAGCAGAATGGTTGATAGAAATTGTGTGCTTGTGTGCAACATAAAGACAAAAATGATTATAAACTATAGCAAACACAACAATGCAACATAAGAAGTTAGAGGCAAAAAATGATGAGATTTATTTTATATATATTTCCTGATAACTCAATTATGAAATATCTGAATTGAGATTTGGCAAAGGAATCCAATCCTCAGGCATAGCAGAATCACATTTACATAGAAGCTCAGTTTTGAAGCCAGCATGTAAGATGGAAACTATGTAGAACATCCCTTGGAAAATGTTGGACTGACACAGAATCCCTCAGCACACTTCTCCTGGTTTGGTTTGTTTAATTGAAAACCAGATGAAATAGTTGGCTTAAATAAGCACACATGAAAGAGAAAGAAAAAGCAAAAGGAGTTTAAGTAACTACTATCATTCAGCTCAGAAAAATGCTGATTATAGAAGTCACATGAGAAATAAAATGGACATTGAGAACAACAAATTTCCTTTCATTTGAAAGTGTAAATTCATTGTCAGAAGTGAGAGGCTTGTTCCACTTTGCACAGCGCACAGCGACATGGCTGTTACTTTTTCCAATGCACAATATAGATCATGTCAAGGCACTCACTAAATGCTTGTGATTAAATTTATTAATTTTATACTTGCAGCTGAGAAATCAAGCCCTTCTGTAGTCTCTCCCTCTTTTCCCCATTTTCCCACTTTTGTGCCATCAGTTACCTCACTGCAGCTGAGACTCCCTTTGGCCACTTTTTCACAGCATGACAGAGTTTCCTGGGCCAAGCAAGGTGGTAGTATCTCCTTTGTAGTCTGGGATGAAGAGAATATTTGCAATCATTTTCTCCATTAAAGCCAGGAACAAGAAATGAAGGCTTACTCCCATCAGACTTTGTAGGAAAGTGCTTGCTAAAGAAAGTATTATTCATGGAAAGGCTGCCCGTGATAAAACTCTTTAATAACATTGCTATTTTGTAGGCCATAGAAAAAGCATATTATCCTCAAGTGCGTGATAAAAGCCCATGGAACCTTTAAACTTCCTAATTCTGAGACGTTTTCATGTAGCAATCCTTCCCTTAAATTCTCATTAAGGTAGAAAGAAATGTATACTCCTGTCTTATCTATGCAGTCAATCTCAAATTTATGAGTGGGAAGTCACAAAAATTTACTTTAAGTCACTTCTTTGGAATTTGTAACCATTTCCCCATTGATTCAGTATAACCCATTGTAGTTAAAGTACCAGGTAGTCCAGAATGGTAGTGAATTAGACAGCTAAGAACCCTTAGCCTCTAGCAGCACTAGACTCAGTCTTAGTTTGTAACAAAGACTTGGTGCTCAGGCCCCAAACTTCCATTTCTGTGCCATAAATCATGAGGAGGCTAAGGCTAGAGGCTCACTGGAGGGTCCGTTGGCTGGATCACAAGGTAGCACAGGCTCAAAAAGCCACAGGAGGGTTAGAGAAGCAGATGGGGAGGATCTAGTAGTGAGTGAAGGCTCTCGCTTGCATGTCACAGGTGCTTAAAATCATGCAATTGGAGGGAATCTCTCATTCTTTTTCTCCTACCACTCCATGTTTTTTCTCCTCAGAAAAATGGGGGCTTTGAAATCTTCCCTTTCTATCTGGATAACCTTACCTTTTTGGCACTTGCACTTTTTAATGTACAGTATTATACAGAGATAGCATTTAACTTGCAGGTGCTTGTAAATATAATTTAGCTGGCACATAGTAATATCTTAATACATAGTAGTTAATGCTATTACAATGCTGCATCACCTACTAAATTCTATAAGAATTTGATGACCTGTGCAGTTTTACAGCAGGCACCTTCACTGTATTGAATTTTAATTTAATGCATTAGGCACTTAATGAAAGTACAGGCAACTTTGGAAGCAAAGAACAGAAAAATATCACCTGGAATGCAAAGATAACTCTGCTGAAATTGTGTTTTGAGAGTTGCCAGCTAAATTGGAGTTCTAGTATCAGAGGAGCCAGGAACCCTTCCCTAAAAGGAAGGGAAATGAGACTGGTGTTTACATTATGCCTTTTACTGGATACTTCTTTTACATGGTGGATGGCTTCTTGCTTAATTATCTGCCTGCAACCAGGTGCCCCTCACTGGGGAAATTTGTTCATACAAGCAGATTCCCTCGCGGTTCTTGTCTGACTTATGTCCAGTTTGCATCCGCCTGACCATTCCACCAGTATTGGGAGCCCAACTTCATGTTCTTCCCAGCATGCTGGGAAAAATGTGGCCTGTGGAAACCCCCATTCTCCACAGGTCATGTTTTTCCCAGGATGCTGGGAAGAACATGGACTTCCTTCTTCAGATTAAAGAAGTTGGCTCTTCAGATTAAAGTACAAACCCAATGCACCACCACAAAAGAAAACAAGGTCAATGATTTTACTCACAGAGTCTGAGCAAGGACGGAGTCATGAGTCAGGAGATCAGTCCTTCATCTTAGATCATGTGAGGCAGGAAGGACGAGTCAGGGGTGTAGCGGGTAGCGGTATGTGAGGGAATAGGCGTGGCTCACTTTAACTTCCAGTGGAAACACCTGAATGTCCATTAGAGTAAACAGCTGACCACTGGAAGCACAGTCTGCTTCGTAGAAGAAATGCCTCTCATTTCTTAACTCTGGCCACAATTTGACCCATTTGAGTGTGAAATAGAATGGGAGGGAAACTATGTAAAGAGAGACTGAGCTCTGCTTATGGGATAAGGAAGTTAATCCTGTGTTAATGGATACTGAGGCAGTGTAGAATTATAAGCACCCTCTACATGTGGGTAATGATGAGCAAAAGGCTGTCTTGGTGGGAGGAGAAGCCCATTAGGGCTTGGGCTGATCAGAGTCCTTTATCTTCTTGAAGCAGCCTGTCACGAAGATCACTAGTGAAATTACTGAACATGTAATTTGTCTCATTCATCTTCGATGTGATCTCACCTCTCCCATGGACCTGTAGGTGGTGCTGCCCAGGCCCGCCTTCTACATGCTAAATCTAGCTTCACAGAAATTTCAGATTACCTTCTTTATCTGACAGGCTTACCAAAGCTGTCCTAGAAATACAACTCTATTTCTGATGTCCTATGCCAAGGAGCTTGGGAAGCTATGATTATTTCTTATATTGTGTCTGCTGCTCAAGGTTGGTTTTTTTTTAATGAAGTATGGATCCCTTCCTTCTTTATCGTTCTGGCCATCTATACTGGCATCAGATTTGGGGTCATTGCAAGAAGAGTAAGAACCTTAGGAATTGACTAAGCAGTATAACTTATGTAAATGCTGGTAAACCAAGCCCTTTCTGAGCTTTTACTGTTCATGACTGAGAAACCCACTCAGCACATGGATGATACAGATGACAGGTGCAGATCATGAGGTGGTGCATAGGGACAGCTTACCACCTAGAGAGGAAAAGGTACTGCATTCTAATTAGGAAAACTGGACTCTGATTCTGTCAGTACTTAGAATGAGACCTTGAGCAAGTACCTAATCTCATTTCAATTTGAAATAAAAATCATAATACCTGCTCCAACTATGTCTGTATTGTCTCCTGAATCTAATTAGATAATAGGTAATAATAGATTCTGAAAACATAAGAAGTATAAGGAATTATAAAGTTGAACATCACCAACACTAGAAAAAAAATTCCATAGCCCTTTAATTTGTTCTGAAGACAAATGCCATGCTGACCTCCCTAGCATGTCAGCTACTTCCCCAAAGGATACACTGACCTTTTCGATACAGTTTTCTATTTCTTGGTCTATTGCATTCTCTGTTTATTGGCCTGTGTCCTGCCTTGCCCACTGTAATCAGCTTTCAGTCTTGTTTATAAACTTCAAATTGTATGTTTTAACTATATTTTTTTATCAAATTAATACATTTTCACTGACCTACTATATGTAGTAGATATTGTATCAATTCTTGAGAATGCAAAATGACTAAGGCACAGTCCTTAAACTTAAGAATTTTACAATTGGTCTCAGGTTTTCAGGATAAAGGAAGAAAGAATAAAAGTTTCTCAAAGAATATTCTCAAGGGCTATCTCTGGAAATGGCTTTCATTGCTTCCATTTACACTTTATTGACTAGAAGACAACATACAACCCCAATATAGCAATAAACGAAGGTGGGAAATACCCTCTTCCTATGTGTCCAGAAAAATAAAAATGAAATAGAATGTGTGGATAACTTAGCATTGTCTCAGCCATGTGATGTTCTGATAAGATGTGACATAGATTATGGTGTGTACATGACACTAAGGGAGCAAAGAAGATGCTGTCACTTAGCTCTATAGAAAGTTTGGGGAAACAACACTAAAGATGAGTAGAATAGATGGACACAGTAGAGGAAGGTCACTTTGCATAAAGGAACAATATGGGACAGTTTAGGGCATATTGAAATGCATGTGCCTTTTGGGAGAAAATAGCATATTTATTAAGTTGAATTCCATAGTTTCATGAAATAGGGCAAGGTATAAAACTGGAAAGATAGATTGAAGGTAGATTTCTAAGGCCTTTGAATACCATGTTAGAATTTAAAATCATTTTACCATGCCATGGGAAGCTATTACAAGTTTTTAATGAAAACCTTTGACATGATTTGAAGAGAGAAATCCTGATGGTAAAGAACAGAGGAAATTGATAAGTTGGAGACTAATTCATAAATAGGCTGTACCAGTGTGTTCAAACATAACTGCAAGCTAGAATTTCCCCAGGAGCTTCGAATACACAGGTGCAGGTCTTTATTCAGACCACTTCAGTCAGAATTCTGGGGGCATGTGTTGTATTTTTCAAAACTGCCTAGGTAGGGGCTGGGGATTTAGCTCAGTGGTTCTGGCACCTTCCCTGCAAGTGGAAGACCCTAGTTCGATCCCCGGTACCAAAAAAACAAAAAAACTAAAAAACAAAACTGACTAGGTGATTCTCATGTAGAGCAAACACTGAGAGTCACTATGTATACCAATATAATTATAAATACATACTTTAGAAGCAGTCTCGTGTATTAGACTTTTTTGAATTCTGAAGAGATTTGCTTGACTGCTGCCTACTTCTAGGCATGGGTAGGATTGTTCTAGAGCAGGATGGAGTAAAATTTTAGTTTGAGTTCTGTTGACAAGAATAAATGCCTTGGGATAGAAGTTTACATAGCATGGAAGAAGCAAGTACTATGTCCAGACATTGTTCTATCATTTTCATGTACTATAGACATCATTCTCAAATGCTCTTTGTGAATATTATTAGATATTACTAGAAGAGTAATTCATCAGCAATATTCCAACACCTTATAAAGCTGGATTGGTGTTGAAATATCTACTGCAATAACAAAAAAATATCTCATCAATCTCCCTTTAAATCATTCTGACACGTTATCAACTCCTACACATCCTCTTCTCCAGAAATTTCATAGGCAGGTATAGTTCACATTCTTTACCACTCCCCCAAGTTCTTGGATCCCCAACTCTCTTTGCTACCATCTTCCTTCTTCAAGGGGCACTCTTGCTACCTTTCCCCTAGGTCAGTGGTGGGGAACCTATGGCACACATACCACAGTGGGCACACAGAGTCCCCTCAGTCAGCACATAAGCACAGTAGCCAAGCATTGGATAACAGTTGTTTTTCTAAAGTAAAACTTCAGTATTCAGGTTTAATTTCAGTGTTGGCACTTTGTGATAAATAAGTGGGTTTGGGGTTGTAGTTTGGGTACTCAGTCTCTAAAAGGTTTGCCATCTAGGGCTGGGGATTTAGCTCAGTGCTTCTAGCACCTGCCTCACAAGTGAAAGGTCCTGAGTTCGATCCCTGGTACAAAAAAAAAAAGGGTTGCCATCTCTGCCCTAAGTATTCACAGTCAGGAAGAGGTGACATGTATTTCCTCCTGACAACTAGATCCTCTTAAGGTGAGGCCTTCTCTAGAGATTTCTTGAGCATCTGGAGTCCAGATGTCCTTGAAGTGTGCCTTTTCTCATGGATACTCCCCATTTTCTTGAACTTGTCTCCTTGTAAGGCTTTTGTTATCTTGTTCTAATGGCTGCTCTGTTACAGCTCCTGAGCTCACTTATAGTTCCAAATAATTCCCAATATCTGTGTTTGCCACCTGGTCCTGGAAGTTCTCTTCTCAACTTTTAGGTCTATTGGTGACTAGACTGCAATCTTACTCTCTCAAGGGGAGTGTCTCTGAGGAGCTTTCAAGGAGAGTTGCAGTGCTACACAGTTTAAAATAATAAATTTCTCCTCAGCCTCTATAATTTCATTAGGAAATCTGGCCTGTAGCTTACCATATGATTTCACACTGCAGTGACCCCTCAGCACTGGGCTGCTGCACGCTGGTGAAAAGTACTTCACTTCTTCAGTGCCTGCAGTAAAACACAGCCAAGCACAACATTCCTTTTCACCCATTACCTATAGGTTGCAAGAAATAGCCTTATAATTGACTGCTTGGAACACCAATAGGAATCTCAACATTCCCCATAGGCAATTAAAAGGCAATTAAAAATTAACAATGCCTGGTTACAACTGTACATCTCTACTAACACACTAGCCCCTTGCAAGGCAGCTGTATAGTTTTGGTTTTGTACCATATTTACAATGTATGAGAATTTTAATGAAACATGCTTTAAATAAAACATAGTCACTAGATTTCTCACATATTTTTTCAGTGATGCCCAGAGAACTTTGTTAACTATATAAAAACAAAAATCTCCATATGAAGGATGGTGCCAGATGCTGCTTAGTCTGGCAGCTGGGTGTTAGTGCTCAATAGTTTGTGACTGGTTTGCCACTTTTCTATGGCCTTTTCCCCTTCCTGGGAGCATGAGACACAGGAGAGAATTGCAGCTGTTACATCTCTAGAGCTCTGTAGAGATAACTCAAAGACTGCTGCTGCACTTAGAGTTGCATATCATCTGTAGTGCTGAGCAGCTGGAAATGAAGTCAAGCCGCTAAGATTTTGACTGTGGTGATTCAACACATTATAGGTCTTCAAGTCCTGAGTCTTCTGAGAAAATATGAGTGGAATACAAATAGTTGGCTTCGTACTCACACCTCATGCAGTCTTTCAACACTGCTTTAAAAGCAAAAAAATAAAAAATAAAAATAAAAATAAAAAATTTCCCCACTTCACAGGAATATAGAGCTGCGAAGTGAGAAGTCTGGTGTTCTCATTGGCATTAGTACCACAATGTTTTTCCAGCCTCAGCTCTTCTAAACTTGCTTCTTTAAGCAGAATGAAGAAAAGGCTGAAGTATCTTGGGCTTTTCCAGTTTTGTGTAAATTGTATCTATGCTATGCAAACAAAAGAAGTAAGACATTTTCACTTTGCCTTGAGCTTAGTGTGACTTCAAGTGAAAAAGTAAGAGTTTGGAACAAGAAAAAATGTCAATATAGTCATTTATCCTTCAAAATAATCATGTATTTGGAGTCCAGTTGCCTCCAATCTGTTTTTGTCTCTCATTTCAGAAGCATGTGTTATAGATTCAGAG